GTTCCTGCAAACCTTAACTTTGATCTGGAAAAGGTGGCAGTTGCATTGGTAGTGCTTTCCTCAGAGGTGAAGCAGTTAGAACCATGGAATTTGCAATGCATATTGCAGCAGGATGTACCAGAATATGACTTTGCTTCAAAGATGACATGGAAGCAATTCACCTTTTTAATACAGGTTGGCCCTCTATAGTCCGAAATTCTCTGCTCTGGCACTGTCCACGGTCCAGCATTGTAAGGGATGCCATGGGTGCTCTGGCACAACAGGGCCACAGATATTGCCAGACCAGAGAGCCAGGCAGCAGCTGGGAGTGCTAACCAAAGCCGGGTCTGGTGGCTGGGAGCAGATTTCAGTGGCCGGGGAGTGGCAGTCAGGCCAGAATCAGGGAGCTGGTGACCAGGGGACTGATGGCTGGGAGCAGAATCTGGCAGCCAGGAGCGGAGCCAAGAGGCCCCCAGCAAAGGGTCTGGTATCATCAACCTCCCTGGTTCAGGACAAGTCAGGTCCTGAAGCCAGACCAGGGAGGTCTGACCTGTACTTCGTAGGTTTAAAGTTCTTCAGGGCAGATACACATTTGAAAAGTACGCACATTACATAGGCAAATCATTGCTGGAAATCACCTCTTTGTATTCAATGCAGAAAATGATCTGCTGAATTTAAAAACCTTTTAAAAAAATTAAACTTGTTTTCTTTAAAGCTAAAGTCTAAAATCCCAGCCTAAGTGTTTACCCATTTGTTTTTATGCAGCATACCTTTCAGAAGCAATGAAGCTGACGCAGTCTGAGCAGGTGAGATTGTATTTAGCTAGGAAACATTGAAGGTGGTGGTGTACAAATAAGCGTAACTCTGGCCCTTGTGCATATGGCCATTACGCTGTGTTCCAGTTGTGTGATCAGATCTTACACCCTAGTCATGTTACCAAGTCTGAATGAGCTGTACTGCTTTTAAGTTAGGCCTGGCTGCCTAAGGCCCAAAGAGCTATTCTAGTACAGTAAAACTCCATTAGTCCAGCATCCAATGCTCAGGGACTCCTGATGGTCCGGCACCATCAGGAACCCGGAAGTGCTGGGGCAGCCAGACAGGCTTTCTCTCTTCATCCTCCGCCCTTGTCTACCTACCCC